GGCGCACGGGGACACCGGGCTGGAGGGAGTTTCAGTGATGAGACAGGAGCTCGCGCCGGCGCGACAGCCCTGCGCCAATCCGGTGCGATCAGCCGGCTCGCTGCTGTTCCAAGCCTGCGCCTCCCGCCAGGCTGTGAGGTGTTAACGTGCCCATTGCCCTGAGCGGGAAACTGAGGTCAGAGAGATCGTCTCCTCTCGGAGGCCTTTCCAGGGAGAGGCGACTGGAAGCGAGGGCTTGACGGGGCTCTCGTGGCACTGGGAGCCGTGGCAGGATTCAGAGGAGGAGAAAGAAAACCGTATCTCTGGGGCTGGAGCTGCTTGGAAAGGGAGTGAGGCCTGGGGCAGGGACCCAGGAGGGGCCCCGCTGGGGGTTAGGGGTACCATCTATTCAGGGCGCTAGGCAGCGAGGAGAAACAGAATCTGGGGACCCAAGAGCAGACAAGGGTTTGTGACTCCCGGCACGGGCGGCCAAGGGGAGACAGGTGGAAGGGCTAGTGGGCCGTCTGGGACCCTCCTGGGAACCGGCGGGGACATCTCCGAGCCACACCTCAGACTCAGTTCCAAGCTCTTTCCTTGTGTTCTTTCGTGTACTCTTACGTAAGTCCTGGGACACGGGAACCGGCCCTGTTCCCATTTTACAGGTGAGCACACTGAGGCCTGGGGATGTCGTTGCTTTGCTTACACAGCCAGGAAGGGACAGTCCTGGGTTTGAGTCCAGGCGGCTGCCTCTGGATGCCACAGTACTAATCCCCAAATGTTACATAACACAACGAATGGGGAGGGGTTAGCAGGGCTCCCTGTGGCTGGAATCGGGCCGTGGAATTTTCCAGAGACCAGATTTCGGAATGTGGCCCGGTCACGATGCCAGGGACAGGATACACCTTCTGAGCTGTCACATGTCCACCCGGGGTGTCAAACGGGGATAACGAAGGCACGAGGGACCCTCGGGGGGCCCCAGTGCCTAGGACAGAGTAAGACTCGGGTACTTTTGTGGGGGGACCGGCCTCCGTGCCAGGCCAGGGTTTCGGGCCACCACCGGGGGGCCCGGTGGCTGCATCCAGGGAGCCTAAGTTTCCTGCCGATGGGAACCAAGTGCAGTGTGACAGAAGGTGGGTGGCTGGGGGGCCATGGGCCTGGGCCATCGTGTCGCTGTCACCCTGAAATCTGTTCTGTCTCGGCAGCACACCGCCATCTGGGTGTTAATTCAGGTATTTGTTAAGCGCCTACTTATCAGCCTGCAGAACCCGCCCTGGGCTCTGAATGCCCAAGTCAGACACGCCTGGTCCTCCTAGACTGACCGCCAGGAGATCACCCAGGCTGCACCACGGCAGGGGGGTGGGGGGTCAGGGGGGGCTT